GCTTTTTCCACTGTGAGTCAGAAATGGGGACACCAATGTCTTTTACACATTGTTTTTTTGTTACATATTAATGGTCTGCTTTAGTATTACACAATAGTTGGTATATTTTTGACACAGTGCCTCTGTTCATAGCAGCATTTTTTAATTTATCCTCAAGGTCCTTTTTGTACCCCAGGCTGTTTTCTTGAGATAGTGAAGATTTCAGAATGGATTTGATCTGTACAGTAAGTAATTAAAATATTCTGTGCCATTGAGGCTATACAGTACTCTTTTTAAATCACAAAAAAATTATATTTTTTTCCCATTTTTAATTAATTGTGATATATTTTGAATATTGTTTTGTTGCCACACTTTGTTCTTTAGGATTTTTTTTAACCAGCCATAAAAGACTGGTTAGACCATAGGGTACAGGAAGGTAAGGATTTTCATTTGAAATTAAAGTAGCTTTGCAGCATTTTGATGATACTGAGTTATATTTTTTAATATTTTTTCTTCGAGCCATTCCCAACTGTTAAGTTTCTTTAAAATTGCTATATGCAAATTTTAAAGGGTATATTGAATTAAATGCAATATAATATAAATCAACATCTGGCAAACCAATACCACCTTTATAACGGCTTTTCATGTCAGCACACAGCAAGAAGCCTCCCAGATCTCCAGATGCATTTGAGATATCAAAAAAGTTCTCCAGAGTGTTGTTCAGCATGGGGGTGAGTATAAAATGAAGGCTAATCATGTTTTGGGTGTACTATTCCTTTAAGAAAAATTAATAATGGAAGTTTAGAGTCTTTAAAAACAGAAAAGTTTCTGTTATGCTAAAACACTATTTTTATTAACTTTTTTTTATACAAGTAGTCTCCTAAAATTAAAATGTTCTTTGGGGTTTAAAGCAGGGTTTCCCCAGTCCAGTCGCTGTGAGCTGATATCCTGTAACTGATGCAGCTCTTTTCCAACACACTTGAATTTAAGATTCAATAAACAGAATGTCATTACAGGTCTGCAGATGACTGATAAGAAGTCATTCGAATTATTCAGGAAGGTTTTAAAGTGATTCATAACACAAAGTGGCAGAATAGCACCCCTGCATGACTGGACTCTTTGGTTTAGACCTGTGGTTTTCAATCCTGGTACCCAGGGACCATTATCTTATTTTTTTTGTTGTGTTTCTGCTTTAACACACCTTATTCAAATAATAAGGTCATTGTTGGGATTCTGGAGAAACCAACTGCAAATCAAGTAGATAATTTAGCCATTTGATTCAGCTGTGTTGAGATTTTTCTAAAGGTTGCAGGATACCGGCCCTCGAGGACTTGTTTGAAACCATTGGACAAACCTGCATTTCATTTGATAGGTTTATAAGTACTACAGGGACATCTACTGGCTGCTTCTTGCATTCTTTATAGAAAGTCCAGATAAAACAAAATTACTTGTCAATAAAGCTTCGATTACTACTTCAGATGGGTCTATTTTGTTGTTTTTGTTACTCTTTCTTTTAAAATATAACAAATGTAGCATTAAAGTTAATTCAATATTTAGAAATATCTCAGCGTTTCCTGCCTCTCTCATAAAACACATGGGTTAAAGCTCACAACAGTTGTCTTTTGTTCCTCCAAAGGCTAATCATTAACAAGCTTATCAAAACATGATTATAAAGAATGCAAATTGTCTGTGTAATGGAGCAAAAATAAGTTAAAGTGCTTTTTGTTTGTTTTACATTTCAGACATAGTTAGTATATATTAAAAACGCAGACCTCTCTAAGATACAAATGTTCATTTATGTTTTACAGTTCATCAATTTCCCCAGTCTTACGGATGAACAGATACTAAACTGAATGGCTAATATAAAAAAAATGTTTAGATAAAATACAGCAGCATGCACTTTATGTGTTCCTGCATCTTATTTGTTCAGTTCAGATCAAAAGAATCCGATTCAGCAGAATTTACTTGGCTTTTCCTCAGAAGATGCGAGAACTCCACTTCAGATTAAACATGCTCATGGAAGTAATTGATTAAAAAAAGAAAAATATAGAAAATATAAAAAGAAATAGAAAAAAAAGTAAATATATATATTCTTAAACTGTAAAATATTGTGTTTATTAAAAACAAAGCCTATGTAAACATGTTTTAGTAGAATGGGATCTTCCAGGCTTGAAGATATTGATAATGACAGTCTTAAGTCGAGGATATGATTTTGCTAAATTTGTTTTATTTATATGCGCAAAAATATTTAACTCTGTCTCCATTCATTTTTAATATTTGTTTTAACCTTCTATGGCATAAATATAAATATTGTTGTGTTGATAAAACTTAGAATCATAATCAGCTTTATGGCATTTTAGGGATTTTACCTGGTTTCCATTGTTTATATAACAATATTAGTTAAATATGTGGAAACATCGTGGAAAAAAGAGCAATATGTACTTTTATTTGTATAGCATCCTACTTTTTTTTTTTTTTTAAACAAAATCTTCGTATAAGTAAAGCATGCATCTATTTCCAAGTAGAGTACATGATGTACAAGATGTAATATGTTTATTGTTTTCACTAAAGAGAGAGCCTGGGTAAATAACCTGTTTTGTCATGGCTTGTTTTTTCATGTATCACGCTGCATCATGGTTCCTACGAGTTTTCACAGAATGTAAGGCATTTTCAGAGATGTGACTTTACAAATCCTGGATGGAGGGAAAGTTATCTCTGCTGATCCATCATCTGACCAAACCATATAGAGATGCATGTGCAATGAGACGGACTGAATCACTGCTGTGTAGAAAATTATTAGAAGCTTACTGTGGAAGATTTTACTTATTGAATTGCTGCAGGAAGTACATCACCTGTTGATCCCTTATCCAAATTGTGTTTCTGTGCACATACCCATTATTGAGCTGCCTCAAATCAATAAACGTGTGATCTGCAGAGTTTGAGAGTTTTTTCTGATAGTTCTGTTGGAATATATTCATTTGTATACAGGGGGATGTAAAGTATGGATAAAACACACCACTAGGGGGCATGAGAAGCATATCTTTCCTTTTAACCTGATTCTGGAATGCATTTTTCCCTGCCCATCAGCCTGCTTAAGATCACTGTCCTCACTGCCATAAGGATGACCATAAATGCAGGACCCGTAAAATCTTCATGCATGAAATTTGTGTTGGTAAAAAATTCAAGTACCATTACTGGCCTATACCTATTTAAACAAAAGTGGCCAAAATACACAATGTTGCCCAGAGGCAATGATCCACGATTCCTGTATTTAAATGAAGGTAAAATGTGTTTTTACTAAATCAGTTATTATTATTATTATCATTACATACTAATGCACGTTCAGACAATTGCATAAAAAAAAAAAATCGAAATAATAAAACCAACTTAATGAAGAAAAAGAAAAGATGAGTATTAAGATAGGGAATGAAGAAGTGGGGAAATTAATAAATTGTAAACATGGATTTCTAACAGCGCTGTTTATCAGCGTATTTATAGCACAAACTCATAGTTCTATCTGTGTGACAATCTTACGCTGTCAAGCCAGCATAAACTATATCAGGTGTATGACATTCTTATTTATGAATGTACCTGTTAGACGAGTGTTCTCTCATTTTTACCAGCTGTATGAAATCCTAATTTTCAGAAAACAGTAATCTCTGCAATATCTCTCTTTGTTTGAGTCATTGTTAATCCAACTCTCAAGCCTTGAGAATTCCCTGCTCCGTTTGAGACCATGAGGTGCATATGGGCAGAAGTGTGCGTCCACTACAGGGTGAGTTGTTCTTTAATTAGAAAATACCAGAGGTACAGTAGAATTAAATAATCAAATCACAAACATAGATAGTTCAAAGACCAATAATAATTGTAATAAAAAGATAAGCTACCACAGCTGTAAATACATAGTGTGGTTCGAAAAAAAAAACTATCCCCTAATAATTCCCTTTTACATATATTTATGTGGGCTGAACATTGGTACTGTGCTGCTTGCAGCAAGAAGGTTCTGGGTTCGAATCCCAGCCCGGGGTCTTTCTGCATGGAGTTTGCATGTTCTCCCTGAGCATGTGATGGTTATCTCCGGGTACCCCAGCTTCCCCCCACAGTCCAAAAACATGACTGTTTGGTTGATTGGCTTCTCTAGACCTTACTGAATAGATCAAATATATGTTTGTGGATTTTCACTATATTTATACAATTGTATATTTATACAATAGTTAACATCATCAAAAAAAAAAAAAATGAAAGATAAGAAATAAAAACAAAAATCTTATTGTAATAGATTTAATATTAGCTTTGTTCTTTACTGAAGAGAGTAATTTTCACTGAGTTTCTTCAAACTTATCCTTATAAAAAATGATCTGTAGAAGTAAAGCTCCTTGTGCAGAGCAGAACTCACGTTGATATCAACTCATGCTCACATTTTCCCTCCCTCTTTCCCTCACACACACACACACAAACAGTAAAGATATAAAGGTAAGTGTTATGCACGTGTAATAGACACTGAGGAGAGACTCTTGCGGCACTCTTTAACTGCACATATATTCTGAGCAAAATGTCTCGGGATTACTTTGGGTTTTCCCACATCACAAGAAACAAGGGAAATGAATCTTCTCAAAATGTTATCAACAATCCAGCAGACATCTCCGTTATTGTTGTCTATTTTGTCGTTGTATTGGCAGTGGGAGTATGGGTAAGTATTTGTGGAATTTTTTTTTAAATCACTTCTCTTTCTCTACTACAATTTCAAATTTTATGTTTATGTATGCAGATTCTTTTTGCCTACAAATGAACCTTATACAATATTGATTTAAAAAAAGAAAATGTCTATCCATTTTATGGAGAGTTGCATGCAGATGACACTACAAAGAAGTGGACAGATGTTAAGCAAACCTGATATCTTAGCATCCTGGTGCACAAATTTATGTTTCACTGATAAGATGTAAAGAATTAGTGACATCTTGAACTTTGTGCATTGAAATTGAGGATGAGTTTTGTACACATTCAAGGATTTCCTAAGATGCTCTCTTGTCTTGCTGCAGGCTATGGTCCGCTCTAATCGATCCACTGTGGGTGGCTTCTTCCTTGCTGGAAGGAATATGGTGTGGTGGCCGGTAGGTAGTTTACAACAGAAAATAAAAAAAAAGAGCTGAACAAAGTCTGCTCTTTTTTGTTATGCCTTTATAGAATGCTGTAGATAGAACAAGTTCCTTCAGGGTGACAAGTGTAGTTTTTCATTACTGGAAACCTGTGATAAACAGCAACCTTAAACATGCTCTTTATTTATTTATTTAGTTTTGATATAATCTCTCTTTTTAAACTTTTTAAATTGCTTTACTGTGCAGTAAAAACAGACTAAAATACAGATATGATGCAAAAGTTAGTTTCAATGGCTGAACATTTAGAGAGTAGGCAGTTGCATAGTCTGTGAGTCTTTGCAGAGACTGCTGGTCACACAATCTGGGCCCTTATAAATGAAAGATGACAAATACAAGTATGAGCTAAATTTTGATGTAATTGGGGACACACCTATTCTCAGTCAATTAAGGAAAATATTCTAAGCTCTTCACAATGAGATTCACAGAGGCCCCGTTTGTGAGATTTTTTCCCACATCCCATTGGCTGTTTGGGTGAGCATCATCCTTTCATGTTATGAACTTTGTTGCATCCTCCAACACACAACAGTTTATATGTCCATAGTCAACACCCCTCTTTGGACTGACAGCCTCTCCATCAAAAATAGGAAGTCCCAAACTGAAAGTGATGAAAGAGCGCTGCTCATATGAAACTCAGAAGACATGCAGCTACATTTTTGCCTGTTCCGTTGCATTTGGAACAGATGAATTATTCGAGGTATAAAATTCACTAAAGAGCAATATTCCTAAACAATTAGATTCGGATAATGCCATACAGCAGCAGGAATATCAGCTTTAATGGCTGGAATAAAAATGATGCAATATCACCTATTTGTCAATTTTACCTTGACCAGGTTTTACTCCAGCCTTAATGCCTGTGATGTTACTGACTGTAAGTAGGAAAAGTAGGTTTTTTTTGTTTTACATACTACTGCAGACAAATCACTTTTCACGAGGCATATAAGTAATGCAATTACATGTTATATAATTCCAACCTAACAGAGAAAAAAGGTTTTCATTCGATTATTTTTATTTCATGTTTCGTTATTTATAAATATTTAACAGGTCACATAGTTTGACTATAAGAAAAGCCCAGGGCGCTTCGATAAGCACCCCCTGAAATGAGTTTTTGGAACTTGGGATGTCTGTAATATGTGGTGGTGCGCTGTCACCAATGGTTCCATTCAAGGTGCACAGTCACTATGTTTCCGAGTGTGATGTGTGATCATACACTACTGAGAATTGCATAATTGTGTCTTCTTGGCCGATTTATGAAACTGTTGCCGTATCCTGAACATTAATCATGTGTTGCACTTCATATGGTCCCACCCATTTACAACAGTGCTTTATGTAACAAATTGAGAAAAACTGAGTGTAAGACAAAGGGGGAAAAAAGTCAAGCCAACCAGGCTTGATAATCTATTCAGAAGACTACTGGCATGAAACATGACTAAGTCCCTTTTAGTAGTTATTGCTTAGTCATTTTATAAAAATCTAGGTTTGTCGGTGCATAGTAAATCTTTTTCCCTTGTTTACGTAACACCTATTGCTTTCTGGTTCAACAGATTGGAGCATCACTTTTTGCAAGCAACATTGGCAGCGTCCACTTTGTAGGGCTTGCTGGTACTGCTGCAGCATCTGGAATAGCCATTTGTGGATTTGAATGGAATGTGAGAGATCTTCTACTGTATATCATAAACATAGAGGTTATTCCTTTGAGCACAGCTTAAAGCTTAAAGGTCAACATTATTTTTGGTTTGGAAAATAAATAAATAAATTTTTCCGAATATTGTTCTAACTTAAACTTTGTTTCTGACAATGTTTGTGTATTACAGGCTCTTGTTCTTATGGTCATTTTGGGATGGATCTTTGTGCCAATCTACATCAAAGCAGGGGTAAACTAGACACAAACTGTTAGAAGCTTTCACCAATCTCTTCATTTGGTACACCTCGATAACTTTGACCCATATTTTCCTTCAAAATTATTTCTAAATGGCATAAATCTAAATAGTGTACAGAGCATTGCTCCAAATTTCAAGTCCATATGGTTTTATCACGTAGTTGCGGCTCACTTATCTACGTGAGTCTTCCATTCCAATTGAGGTCTTGTAACAGTGAAAATCACCTAAGTTAAAATTAAGTCATGGTCTTGTTTAATAAACCAGATGCATTTGGTTTGAGGTTTGTGACAGTGATTTACTTTCTTTGAAGTAGCCTTTAAGACATCAGTGTTTATTATAGTAAACATGGCAGCAATACTTAGTTAGTCTGTAGCACTTCTACAGTTTTTAAATTAGATGTCTCGAAACTCATATTCTCGGCCGGTGTTCTGCTACTAGATATATAACCACAGCTGAATCAAATAAGTTAACTAGTGCACCAGCAGCAGTCGAGCTTTGCTAATGAGCTCATATTGGAGTCAGGTGTGTTGAAGCAGACACACATCTCTGACTGATTAGGTGCAATGTGATTTGCACATTAACCATTTCTATTAAAACCTATCAGACAGGTGTACCTAATGAAGTGGCTAGTGAGTCTGCTTTCTGTTTACTACAAAATGCATCCATTACTACACTTTGAGCCTTTAAAAAGTATCATAACTGTCTATATCCAGGTAGTCACCATGCCGGAGTACCTAAAGAAGAGGTTTGGGGGACAGCGCATTCGTATTTACCTCTCTGTACTCTCCCTCTTCCTCTATGCTTTCACTAAGATTTCTGTAAGTTTTTTCTTATCTGTTACCCAAAATTGTCCTGTTTTTCAACAATACATGTAGTCTAAGTCAAACGCTATATCTGTCCCCCGCAGGCCGACATGTTCTCTGGAGCCATTTTCATCCAGCAGGCCCTTGGGCTGAATATCTATGTTGCTGTAATCGCTCTACTGGCAGTTACTGCCCTTTACACCGTAACAGGTCCATCCTCAGGAGGAGATTCACTTTCTTTTTATGGATCATAATTTTCCTGATAAAGAAGTCTTATCTATACAAATGACAAAAGAAGGCGAGGGAAGGCCAACTGTACCAAAGAGATCTAGAAGCATACTCAAATTAAGAGAATTACTCCATCCAGCTTATCCATGTTGCATTACATAGGCGATACACCAATAGACTAAAGTAAGTCTGAGCTGGTACTCAGTTGCTGCTTTGAAATACTGACAACACAACTAAACGTGACTTTTACGACTGTAAAAGAACAACTACAAGAGATAAGATAATATTCTCTCTAGTAGATAAATTGCTCTCTATGATTTTCAATACAAAAACTTTGCTAACATCATGTTTTTTCTCAGGTGGACTGGCTGCAGTAATATACACAGATGCCCTACAGACCATCATTATGATTATTGGATCCTTTATTCTCATGGGTTTTGGTAATATTAAATAATTCTATCATATAATATTCTACCTTGCAGATGCAATTGGTTTCCCTGCCACCTTATTACAAAATGAAAATGAAAAGCTAAGTCTAACTTTTATATCCTTAGCTTTCAATGAAGTGGGGGGCTATGACAATCTAATGGAAAGGTACATGACAGCAGTTCCCTCAATCACTGGTAACATCAGCGCAGAGTGCTATCTGCCTCGGCCAGATGCCTTTCACCTGTTCAGGCATCCCATTAATGGAGACTTGCCATGGCCTGCCCTGGTGTTTGGACTGACTGCTCAGACAATTTGGTACTGGTGCACCGATCAGGTAGGTAATGATCATCAGCTTTGGTTGTATAAGTGTTTTATTTCTAGTGACTAAGTAACTAGTTTTATCTGCATATCACAAATGATTTAAAGTCATAAACTCATCTTCATGATTTCTTCATTTTTTTCCATTCTTGTCTGTTTTTTGTAGAACAACTAAGCTAGTTAAAAGTTAACAGCTGAGAGTGAACATTGGACAGGTTTTTAGAGTAAAAATATTGTTTGCAATTTGAATAAAATCCTCCACGCATGTTTTACTATCTTTATGCAAGTTCAATAGTGCTTAGGTTTGGATATTGTCTTTACTTTGATAAGATTGCATATACTATAGTGAGGGATAATGCTTTATAGCTGCTGACTGGTTGGTCCATCCCCTCATCCAACTATGATACAAGCCATTAAATAACTATTATTACATAAAATGTATAACTAAAAATTTGTTTTGATAACAAGGTTTAGCAAGGGGAATCTTAATAGCAGGTGATTTGTCAGATGCAGCACTTGCAAAAAGCCACCTGTTTCAATACTTTGAGCTATAATCTTCTTTGCAGTGTCAAGTCTTTTAGGGTTAATACTTTTTTCCTGTTTAACAAACAGAGATGGAATATTAACATAACATAAACAAAATTTTCAACTTTAGTTAAAAACAGGTAGATTGGTGGTAATCTACTCAGTCAGCAGTTAATTTGGTCTTTGCAAAGATGAAAACAAGAAAATCATAAAACAGGCCAAAACCGCAGGCAACTGGCAACTTTTGCTTTGTTTTTCTGTGCAACATTTAACACCCATTTAGGAGTCTGTCAATTCAAATTACTTTTCCTAAAGCAATCTGTAGTTGGAGCACATGGATGTATTTAAGCAACATGGAGGTCCATCTCCTGAGCATATTTCAATTTAAATGCAAATCAAAGACCCATCTGTCATTTTACTAGGTTGTTGAAGTCTTTTATTGTGAAGGGGTTATGTGTTTGGCAATTTCAATCATGATAAGTGTGCTTATGCAATTTCTTTAAAATTAGTTACAGGACCAAGTTACAGATGTCTGGAGGCCAATCTTCCCCTTGTGTTAAGTGATTGATTTTCCCTTTTAACAAAGATGGCTTCCTAAAACCCCCTTTTCAAATAATCTGTGCTGTCTCTGTATCTTAACATTTTGGTCATCAAAGATGTGTTCTTTGTTCTTGAAGTGTGAATGTATCAGTGCTGATTTCTCATTGAACACTTGAGAGGATTTAATTGTGGTACAATTATTGGTAAAAATACCCCTTCTTAAATTTCATATGAGTAGTCATTAAATGGCATTAAATGTGCCCTAATATGCTTCTGATTTAATGAGTGTGTTGTGCCATATTCACTTGTTTATTCCGATCTCCCCTCTGCTTTGGAACAGCAGGATACTACCTGTTAGCCTTCAATGAGTTTATTATTCCAGAGTCCTTCACAACAGCTATTTTTACCCATCGTAGTGATGTGTTTAATGTTTTTCAACATATGTTAAGTCCACTCTTCCTAAAACCCCTTACTGCAGCTTTAAGGGTATCACATCAAATGAGTTAAAATATTAATACATGTCCCACTTTTCCATAGTTTTATTTAAAAAACCTTAAAAACTGCCCTCTTAACAGTTACTCACAATCTTGTGCTGGTCTAGCTTATAAAGTCATCAGTAACATGCCGTGTAAAGGTATTAAATGTGTGGGGTATTTTGCATTTCACCAGAGCTAGATCTTTGTCTACAGGTGATTGTCCAGCGTTGCCTCTCAGCTAAGAATCTCTCTCATGTTAAAGGAGGATGCATTTTGTGTGCCTACCTAAAGCTGTTGCCCATGTTTCTCATGGTTTTTCCTGGGATGATAAGCAGAATCCTCTATCCAGGTCTGTACTTTTCTTTTGAAGACAATGTATTTTGACTTTTATATAAAAATATATATTCTGCTGTGATTAATTGCCTTTATATCTTGTAAATACATTAATAACATTAGTAAAATACTATGTGTTATATCCAGATGTGGTGGCATGCGTTGACCCAGATGAATGTCAGCATTACTGTGAGTCAAGTGTGGCATGCACCAACATTGCTTATCCCAAACTGGTCGTGGACCTGATGCCCAATGGTAGGGAGATTTAAATCTTGATTTATATTCAAACTTTTTCTTTCACTTTTTTATTTTCATACTCACTCTCTTTGTTGCAGGTCTGAGGGGTCTTATGCTATCAGTAATGCTGGCCTCTCTAATGAGCTCCCTTACCTCAATATTTAATAGTGCTAGTACTCTTTTCACCATGGACATTTATACTAAGATCCGTCCAAATGCCAGAGAAAGGGAACTGATGATTGCTGGAAGGTAAAACAAGTTTTTCTCATCTTGAGTATGATTGATCTGCACTTTTGTGATATTTATTTTTGCTGCATATCTTTTTAACTACAACAGGGTGTTTATTGTGTTCCTTATTGGTGTGAGCATTGCATGGATCCCTGTGGTGCAATCAGCCCAGAGTGGTCAGCTCTTTGACTATATCCAGTCTATCATCAGCTACCTTGCTCCACCTATTTCAGCTGTCTTCCTTCTCGCTATTTTTTACAAGCGTGTCAATGAGCCTGTGAGTTTACTTTTGACCTAGAAATTACATTTCGTTTAAGTCATGACATGGGGAGAGATATGAATAGCAAATCTCCTGTACATCAAACCATCCATATATATATATATATATATATATATATATATATATATATATATATATATATATATATATAATATACACAAAATTTATCTTATTTCATGTCATCTCCTCTACAGCTACAACCTATCAGTCCTAAAAGCTTGGGTTGTTGATTTTAAAGACAAACCTAGAAAAGAAGATTTTTTTTTTTTAAACCATGCTATCTTTCTAATTCTGTTTTTGTTTCCTTGTAAGGGTGCATTTTATGGACTTATCATCGGTCTGATTGTTGGCCTGGCCAGGATGATCGCAGAGTTTGCCTATGGGACAGGAAACTGTGCTAATCCGAGTAATTGTCCTACTATTATATGTGGAATACACTACCTATACTTTGGCCTGATCCTGTTTATTGTCTCATGCATCGCCATAATTGGGGTCTCCTTATTAACCAAACCTATCGACGACAAGCATGTAAGTGAAAGCTGTGAGGTGAAGCAGGTTTTAATCTATCAAAGATTGTTACATGTTGACTAATATTGCACATATTTTGAATAGCTTCTTTCCCTTGAAGAAAAGTTTTCTGTTATGAAACCAGAAGGTGTCACACTTTATTGCAGGTGAACCTGATGTTCAGCCAGAGTTAAGTTTAAAGGTTGTATTGAAGGGGTGAATAATGGCAGATGAAACAGGCAAACAGAATAATCCTTGTTGAAAGTGCTGGTTTGCAGGGGTGAGCAGAGAACCAGGAGATGTAGGCAGTAACAGAACCAACACGGCATGTGAAAGGGAGAAACACTAGCTGATGGAGCATGGAGACTTAGGCAACCTCAACTTGAAGAGTTCAGCTGGTAGAACCCACAGGGTCCAGTAGAGAAGGAAACAGGCTGGACTGCAGCATGCAGACACAGGCAACCTTAGCAGGAGAGTCCAGCTGGCAGAGCACACATGAGCTAGTAAAGCAGAGGCAAATCACATGGGAAGAGCAATGAAATGAGTGAGACACTTTGCCACAGGTGAGTTAGACAGAGGCAGGTATAAGTAGGCTGGAGAACAGGTGAGCTGAGTAACTAATTAGTGGGAACAGGTGGAGATAATCTAGAGTGGGGTGGTGGCTGGAGTCAGACTGAGCTGGTAGGATAACTACTAGTGGTTGAATAGTGACAGGGTGAACTGAAAAAGTCCTCATAAGTCCAAAACCAAACTAAACAGAACCATAAATATGACAGAATGACTCTGATTTAATTTCCGTAATCACAACCTGTTCCAATTTTTTTTTCTTTTTTTATGTATTTCTAGCAACAGATTTCTGTATTTGTGGACTCTGGTATTTGTCAAAGCTATATTTCTAATGAAATGCTATGTCACGAGGATCCACTCTGCAGGAGTGGGTGAAAATCAGAAATGCACTCATTTTATCAAGGGACTTGCATATGTTAAAAGCCTTACCAGGAACAACCTGAGATGTAGTCATTTTGTTTTTGAAACCAGCAAGTCTCTTAACATTTCAAAATAAAACGTCCCACCCAGAAACGAAACATTATAAATTTGCAAAATAGTAAAAATCACTTTTGAGAGCAGATTCTTAACATTTCCAGTAAATAATGCTGCTTCAAAGGAAAAAGTTAATTCTTAGTGATGAATTTACATGGAGGAACGTAAGTAAACAATACACTTATACTAGGTAGAACCGAATTTAGAACTGAGTTGATTTAAGATTTGTTTTACTTGGGATCAAATTAATCAGCTTCATCTAGCATCTTTAAAGTATTTTGTTTTATTTCATTGGTTAATACTGACATCTTAGTTAATTTACATATTTATCTGTTGCAGTATTTCGCAAAAACTATTACCTCATTTTTAAAGCAATAATATCACCTATATAACCTTTACAAGTTGGTTTAAATGGATAGCATCTCATTATATATATATATATATATATATATATATATATATATATATATATATATATATATATATATATATATATATATATCCTAACTGTCTAATTACAGGAATATATATAATATATTAGTATATATATATATATATATTAGTATATACATAATTTTAAATTTCTATCAAATGTGTCTATTTTTCTCTTTCAGTTGCACAGATTATGTTGGACTCTGAGAAATAGTACTGAGGAAAGAGTGGAGATTGAATTGGATGATTGGGTTGACGAAGGGGATGAAATGGATACAGAAGGTAAATGACCAATTACACAGTTCAATATTTAAGAGAATAGGTCCCAAAAAATGTTAATTCCTTATTAATTTTACTTTTTCTTTCAGACCAAGAGGAAAAACCAGGATTCTTCAAGAAAACAATAATGTGCTTCTGTGGACTCGAGAAGACGACAAAGACACCAAAACTGACTCCAGAGGAGCAGGCAGAACTGAAAAAGAAGCTCACAGATACAACGGAAAAACCTCTCTGGAGAAACGTAGTCAATGTTAATGCAATCATTCTATTGTGTGTGGCTGTGTTCTTTCACGGATACTTTGGTTAGTTGGATACTCCTGGATATTGATATATATATATTTTAGTAACAGTTTTTATTATATATATAAACGATCTTTGTCCTACCTCAGCAAAATTGAAGTATACATTTTTTGCCCACAACATTACAATAGTTTGGTCAGGGAAAGATCTAAAGCTCCCAATGACGGAAATCTCAACAAAATTAAACAAGTTAAAACAATAGTTTGATAAAAAACAATTTATCAATAAACTTTTGATCATTTTTGGCAAGCGATATAAAGACACTTAAGTTAATAGTCGGGGAGTGGTGGCCTAGTGGTTAGAGCAGGGATGCTCAAGTCCACTCCTCAAGAGCTACAGTCCTGTAACTTTTAGATGCATTTCTTCTCTAACATACCTGAATCAAAAGGCTCAATCTCCTCATTTAGCCCAGCGGAGGCATGTTAACGAGCCACTCATCTGATTTAGGTGTGTTAAAAATGGTTGCATCAAAAAGTTGCTCTATGCCTTAACCCCTGGTTAAGGCATAGAGCAACTTTTTGATGCAATAGAACTTGGAATCCTGAGGTTTTTCATTCGAAACCCACCCCCACAGACTGCCACTCTGGCTCCCAAAGACCCTTAACCTCACACTGCTCCCCGGGCACCGCAAATGGCAGCCCACTGCTCCCCAAGGGGATGGGTTAAATGCAGAGAGTTCATTTATACGCACTGTACTTGTGACAGTGTAATGACAATAGAACATTTGAAAAAAACAAATAAATATTGAAATAAACAACCTTAATACTGAGAACGTTTATGAGCACACATTTCTTTGTGTGGTCTTACAGTATTGACGATGCCATACTGATTTCATATAATTCTGCATTAAAATCACTCAGCAGGAAATACAAAGTGGTTCTGAGCTATTAGCAATAAAACAGGTTTATCTTTAACACAATTATTCTACATTTAGCAGCCCCACAGCAGTGCTCTGATTAATAGCTAATAAAAACCCATCTGTATGTGGTAACGTCAGATGGAGAACACTTCTGGATCTAGCTCAACATTCGATAACGCAGATGGATAAAAACATTGATCATTGTTTCAGAATATCTCGTTTGGAATTGGTTTAGGTTTTTATTCAATTTTAAGGAGAAAATTGTACCAGGAGAGGCTAGTGTATTTATTCTGAGTAATATCGAGGCATCACACCTTACAGCTCAGAAGCATCCAGAGTGAACCTTTAACCTACAGAGTCAGACTCTGAGCCATAGGGTGAGGGCTAATATAACGGCAGCATCCCCGCTAGAAGACGCACAGTGAGAAAACATGGCTTGAAAAGTCTCTTGCACAGATAGTTTAACAAGTTATTTGTTTTAAATGTAAATTGGTACATACATCCTCTAAATGAATAAAAAATGTAGATAAATCCTCCACCGCTGTTACAAGAAATTATTTATTATATTCCTAAATGTATATCTAGCAATGCTACCCATCCTTTCATGCCAGGATTGTCGGATCTGTTTCCAGCCTTAAAACAATGTGAAACCCCACCACCTTAGAATAAAAAAAATCACAGCATAAATTCCTCTGAACCTTCTGTTAAAACATTGACCCATAAAACACCTATTACAGAACACAGAGCCAAGTTATTACCAGGAAGTTAGGCTCTACTTCGGTATTACAGAAGCTAAAATCAATTAGCTTTGGATAATCATGTGACACTGGTATGTCAGAAGCTGATAACCTTTATCTTTAGGTCATCCTCTGGGACAGCAGCAATCTACTATTTAAGCTCCACGTCAGCCTCCTGTCCTTTGCTTTATAATTTTTTTTTCTCTCACCTCAACATCATCTTGCCTCTGATGTGGAGCTGGAAGTGAAGCGTTGGGAGTGATATTAGCAGGTTTTAATAACAATTGATCCTTATCTGTCTCATATACTGGCAAATTTTTTTCACTTTCTCCCAGGTCAGGACACGGTAGGTACGGCTGTTTGAAAACTGCTAACTTTAGTGTTTTACTGAACAACCAAGCCAGTCTTTAAATGAGGGAACAAAATAAAAAACAGATCCTTCTCAAACAGTTTAATTAGTTGTTCCTTATATTAGCTACTCTATACAGATTTGAGGCAACATGTATAAAATTTATCTAGATCAATTTATCAAACCTTCAGCCATACAAATATTCATAATTTTGGGTTCAGATATCACATAAATGCCCTTTTCTTAAAATCTCACATTTTGATAATCAAAGATTCTTGTTGTGGTGTATAAAGCAAGTCTTGTTCTTCTCCATGTCAATATACAAACAATGATCAACAGCAGAGAGGAGAATTACAATTTGAGAGGGGAATTTGTAATGAGACGATGTTGTGTTTCCACTACTTTTAAAAGTCTGGGGTCTAACCAAGACGGTGCTATGTTGTGAAATGGCTTAGATATAGAAATTAAAAAGACCAGAAGGAACCACTATTAAAAAGTTCAACAGTACGTATAAATATGTTAACTTTCAAAAATGTGCTTGCAACATGACAATCGTCAATAATTTGATGTATCCTTTCCCCCAAAATAAGATATTAGATATTAATGATATTGTGCTTTGAATTGTGATGCCCTTTTTTCAAAAGCGCTCACATGTCAAATGTGATATGAATATTGGGGGGTAGGTTTGTAAGAGTTCTCAAAATTTCTAGTTACTACTTTTGAGCTTTCTTTTTTAACGTCTTACCTGTCATGGTTTTGGTTCTGTTGTGCTTTACTTTGCTCCTTGTTTTTTAGTTTTATTGGTTTAATTCCTATTTTGTTGTAGTTTCTAGATTTATGTTCTCAGGTTTTTCTGTGGTTTTCCTTTGTTGCCCTCTTGTGTGTGTTCCTTTCCCCTTGGCTCCCTTGTTGTCTCCTCTCACACCTGCTCCTTGTCAGCTCGTTAGCCCTGTCTTTGTCTCAGTCAGCTGTCTTTGCTCTCTTCTCATGCAGTTGTCTACCCACCCCGTCTCTCCCTGGCTCCTCGTGTTTGGTTTCCCCAGTTGTCTCCATAGTTCTGGTTAGATTTACATTATTAGTTGGATTTTTTGGATTCCTGCCCTTTTGTTACTGTTCCTCACCATTAAACTGCAGGAAGTCTCCTCAGCCTCTCTGCCTCTGCATTTGGGTCCTCCAAACCACAACGTAACCTTGATATCATCTCTATGTACTGTAAACCTTGCTTTGAACTGCTACTCAAAGATGAATTTAATTTAATTCAATTCAATTTAATGATGGGAAAAATGGCTTAACCTTGGATAAGCATGGATATAAATTATGGCTAAGCTCTTACCTTATTAACACAACATGAGGCTCTTTTTGTATTTTTATTTTTGCATTGTGCACAAAAACTGGTACCGCACACAAAGCATATTTCTATCCAAAGGTTTACCTTTATCCATTCCTTCCTCCATACATCTGTTTTATATTTAACTCAGAACATGCACAACAGAGGTCATGGCTTGAACACTGAAAACAAATCCCATTATCTGCAAAAAGGAAGCTAAAAACCTGAGGTTCTCAAAACAGACACATTCTCACCATCATTAGACCTTGAGATCCTGTCCATGCATAACGCAAAGAAGTGGTAGTAGGTGTCAGTTTGCACTGTCAAATGTTTAACCTTTAACCCACAATAGTACCAAAATTGACTCATGGCCCAAACTGTTAGCTGAAATATAAGTATTTTAAAAATATATTAGAATATTTGGAAATCCAGTAATAAAAACAGTATGTACAACAAAAACATTTGGTTCTGTTTATTTCTGGGTGATGTCTTTAAACTTTATACACATAGGTATGTTTTATCAATATCATTTTAAATGTTTAGTTTAATCTCTGTAGAGCACAGGTCAGGTGTCCCATTCTGGTCCCTAAGATCTACTATACTACAGGTTCTTGATCAGGCCTACCCAGAGTCAGCCCTCAAGGGCCACTTTTCTGCAGGTATTAGAGGTTTCCCAAGTATAGCACAGCTGATTCTAATTTTTGCTGCTGATTTCCATTAATCAGCAATTATTAATGGAAATCAGCTGTGCTGAAGCAGGGAGACCTCACGGGTTGACTTAGGCAGACCTGTTCTGGATGCATCCTTGCTCCAACACAGCTGAATCACATAAAGGGCTCATTACCAGGCCTTTACAAAATTTGATGGCATGCTGAAGAAGTAATTCAGTCATTTGAATTAGCTTTGTTTGACCAGGAATGCATCTAAAACCTGCAGGGCAATAGATCATGAGGACCAGGGTTGGAGAGCTCTGCTGTAGAAGATCTCAAAACCCCATACTTCTAGATCATTCTGCTTATAAGTAAGAACAGGGCAGCCCTTAAAAAGATGCAAACTTATGCTCCAGTTGTAAAAATATATATTTGTTTGGAGGATATGGCTGTAATCCTTTATTAGGATTAAAACACACATAGACTGGACAACAAAACTCTATGACCCCCTTCAGCAGGTGCTCCTGAATTTGAGATTGTGGCTTTCTACACAAACCTCCTTTCTAACATCTGAGAATAAACTTCCACAGGTCTTTGTCCTGTCCTACCTTGAGAAACTGTGAGACCAGTATAAAATCTTTCTCTGGTCATAAGAAATATTTATGCATTTGTAGACATTCATTGATAACTGGACATTTTAATCTTCACTTTTGACACTGTTTTATTAAAGAGAGAAGAGCACTGTAATTAAGAGTGGCTCATAAATAATATGTTTCTGGTTGGCATCTTTCTATCTTTACATGAAGATAGCACATTTACACTGCAATGGCTAATATTCACAATTTGTTCCAAATTAAGGTAAGATTACAATTTTATAAGAAATTCACAATCTTTTTCTACTCAAAGTCAACTATGCTTAAAGCATTAATCGATGAATATTTAAATGTATTTTTATTTTGCCATGAACTTTCAAGTTTACTTATCATTTTTGTATTAAACACAGGACACTGAATGAAGGTTTAATGAAAGACAAACAACATAACAAAAAATATATATCCGGAAAGGTCCTGTAATATTTAACCAGT